CATATCTGGCTACAAGATAAATTTGAATAAATCTGAGGCTATGCCTTTAGGAAGCTTGAATAAAAAAGATTTCCTTTCAGATAGTCAGCCACTGGTTTGACTTATTTAGGAATAAAAATACCCCCCGACTTAAAAAAATTATGGAATCTTAATTTTGCCCCGATTTGCTTTTCAGTTAAAAAAGATCTGAAGCGTTGGCATAACCTACTGCTTTCGCTGATCGGTCGAATTAGTCTGATTAAGATGAATATTCTCCCCCGTATTTTGTACCCGTTGCAAATGCTCCCCTTGTACTTGCCAAAAAAAACTAACCAGGACTTAGAAAAGGCATTTTCTTTCTTTATCTGGCAGGGCAAAAAACCTAGACAGAGGCTTAAGATGCTTCAATTGCCTGTTGACATGGGTGGTCTCTCGTTGCCCAATTTGATATTTTACAACTGGCCATGCCATACGCGTCACTTTTGGCTATGGCTGCATACATACCTTAAAAGAGAGACATGTATTGATTCTTGGGCTTGCTCCCCATACTCACCATGGAGCCTGGTCACCTGTGACACTAATAAGATTAATTCAGTCATAAAACATAATCCTGTTATTTACAATAGTATTAGAGTGTGGCGCGACATAACTAAATATCTAGGAATTAAAAATGTGAAATCCCTGCTCTCTCCAATAGTCCAAAATCCTGATTTTCCTGCAGGCACTGGATCATCTCTGTTGTCCTCTTGGCGGGACAGAGGGATTGATGTGCTGGGTGACCTTTTTAAAGATAGCGTTCTACTTTCCTTCCAGCAGTTACAGGAGTCATTTGATATTCCCAAACAACATTTCTTTGGATACCTGCAAATTAGGCATTTTATATCTTCTCAGGTCACTTCCTTGTCTCTTACCCTCCCACGTAGCGATGTAGAGACGTTTATATATGGAGCGTAAAAATGGAAAACACTTTATATCATCATTTTATTTACTTCTTAATGCCTCAATCACGTATGAACTACCAAATATTGCTCATAAATGGGAAAAAGACTTAGGCAGTGAATATATTGAAGATGATTGGCAGACAGCCATAGGCCTGATCAGATCCACATTCACATGTAATAGACTGAGAGAAACGCAATAAAAGATTATACACAGGCTGCATATCACCCCCGTTATCTTGCACAAAATAAATCCCTCGCTTTCTCCTCTATGCGGTAAGTGCCATTCTGAGAGAGGGACATATTTCCACTGCTTCTGGGAGTGTAAACTAATTTCCAGATTTTGGTCATTAATCTCCAAAGAAATTAGCGGGATATTTAAAATAAAAGTTAAAAAAGACCCAGGTGTGTTCCTTCTAGGACTTCCCTCAAGAGAATTGCGCCTCCCTGCATCATATTACCATCTCCTTGAAAAGCTCCTTTTAATCGCGCGAAAGTGCATCCCTCACGAAAGATTACAAGCTGTTCTGAAGGGAAAGGATGAGCTGTTTGTTAAGACTTGGTCACCTTTTCTAGATTATTTACCTGCAGACCTTAAAAAAGTGCTCTTAATGGGTAAGCATTTTTCAGAGTGGAAAAGAGCCTTCTCATAACCCTTCATGTGAGATGCATAACGTGGTGAGGCTGCTGATGACTGGTTAGTCTACACTTTTATCAACATACAGCGGGCTGAAAGTTATTATTATTATTTTTTTTTTTTTTTTTCTGAATTCATATGATACATTTATGTTATTGTAGATTTTTTTTAAGTTAAGTCTATCTCTTTTTAATGTTATTATTTTTTTTCCCCTTTCATGTATAAACATGTATACGTGCAAGAGTGTAAGAGCATGTAAATTTACATATATTTAGGTTTGTTTTAGTTTCCTTTTTAAATTATTTTTAAATTATTATTGTTGTTTTTTTTATTATCCATTTGTTTTCTATTTTATTCTCTAATTCTTTCAGTTTAGTCGAATATACTGCCTGGTCACTTGGGGTGGGGGGGTACTGTGTGGGGTATTGTGTTATATTATAATCTTCAATAAAGAGTATTAAAAAATAAATAAATAATTAACCCAAATAGGAGTTCAATTGAAACAGTTCAATTGATTATTTTAACCAGTTCATGCAATATAACTTTTCGCATGTCCGGGGTCTTTAATTTTGGTATGCGGGCTCAGTTTGGGACACATAAAATAACTGAGCAATCATCAGCAGAATCAGCCCAACTTTTAATATGTAAAAATCTTTTGTCATTATTTTGACCTTTACATCATAATTTTGAGATAGGTCATTATTTAAAGATAATGAGTCATTACTTGGATTATAAGTGGAGATACAGTGCTAGGTCATTTTCATATTTGTTAAGTCTTTTCTTAAGACTTAGACTTTTTTTTCTAAGGTACTAAGTCATTATTTTGAAGTATCAAACATTATTTCTAGATACCAATTCCATAGTTTGAGAAACAAGTCCCTCCTTAGACATACAGACTCCTTTATTTGAGAAACTTTTTCTTGTCAACTGACTCCTTATTCTGGAAGCCAATTGGTCTTTGTGTGAATTAGTCTTAGTGCTGTCTGTTCAGAGTGCTGTCGTTGTCAGTGTTGTCTCATTTAGAGATACGTACCATAAATGTATGTTATGTAGCTGTTTACAGACATAAAAAAAATGACCTTAGAAAGCATCAATTTAGGCATGCAAACTCATTCATGAATGTGAATGAGTTGATGCATACTGACAGAAACGAAGAGTTCTCCCTTTTTCTTTTTTTCTTTTTCTTCTTTTATGTTTTTCTGTGAACTTGTTGGATGCAGTTTGTCTTTTGGGTATTGTATAGGATACTCATAAAATATTGGGGAGGGTTGCAAATGCAAGTCAACACAATGGATAGTATAGGTCATTGAACTGAAATATGAATTTACTGCAATAAAAGTAAATCTGAAAAAGAAAAAAAAAAGAAAAGAAAAACATGAACACAGAAACCCAAACGAAGCCACCCACACAGCCCCCGCCCCTGCATCCATCTTACTCAGCTGTTCTTCAGTCTGGAACACTCAGACCACATCTGGAAACAGCTCTGCTCTATATTCTTCCTTTTCTCAGACTTTGGCTTTCTGAGCACAACTTTCCCCCCTCACTGCTGCTGAAGAAATGAAAACCTCTGATCCCTGCCGCCTGTTTGCCCAGCAAGTCTGAACAGGAAACTCAGTTAAAGATGTTCTTTGAATGTCCACGTCTGTTTGTGTTCAGAACAGCAAGAGTCTTTGTTCAGGATTTGGTTCACGTCTCATATTTGTGAAATATGGTAACAAAGTAATGACAGGTTTGAGTTTACTCCCAAAGCCTCACTGCACAAGAAACCTGTTCCTATAACTGACCTCATTCACCACGACCACGTTAAAGCGTTTAAAGTAGAAACAGGCCAGAGGGCCAAAGATCAGACACAAAGACAAGACCTGAAATAACTGAGCTAAGCAGTAAATAAACACATCCTCGATGAATCATCACATACTTGTTTATCAGAGTGACTCGTCCCCTGCTTTAGTGAATCAGACGAGGTGTTCTCAAGACCGCTGAGCTGCTAGCCTCCTCGATGTTGAGTCACACTCAGCTGACATTCTCTCTGAGCCCACATGTGCTGCTCCAACAAAGAGCCTCATTTATCAGAGCGCTGTGCAGACACCGCTCTCTGCTGTAGAATGACAGTTTCTACATCTTTAAGGTCACTGTGTCTCTGCAGAGGTGTCGGCTCATTCAGCGAGCTGTAGTGCAGCATACAGAGGGACCCTAAATGAGCCTCATTGTCTCTGAATCAGACTCTCTGAATTATAACAAAGAACGTTTTAACCATGGAACCACCGTGCTCTCTGAGAGACTTCATGACAGAAGTGATTATAGTTCCATGACACAGCTTCCTCCAAAACTTTCAGCAAATTATCAAACCCAAAACAAAAAAACACTTTAGAAACATTGATGAACAGAGTCTCTGTTTCATATCTCTGCTCCTCAACAGATCAGACTGTGCACCAATGACGAGGCTTCAAACATTTATGTGCACCAATGACGAGGCTTCAAACATTTATGTGCACCAATGACGAGGCTTCAAACATTTATGTGCACCAATGACGAGGCTTCAAACATTTATGTGCACCAATGACGAGGCTTCAAACATTTATGTGCACCAATGACGAGGCTTCAAACATTTATGTGCACCAATGACGAGGCTTCAAACATTTATGTGCACCAATGACGAGGCTTCAAACATGAATGTGCACCAATGACGAGGCTTCAAACATGAATGTGCAGGTCGGGTTGGGTGGTGTTACGCGATGAACACTCACACTTTGTGGACGTAGAACGTGGACAGTGTTCCTCACTTAATCAGAGCACATTGAAACTACTCACAGCTCATTGGAGCTGAAGATCAATGCTTCTTGTTCACTGAACCAATCACATGAAAGGTCTCACTATACACAAGATGTGGACGATACAAGAAGTGACCATCATAAAGTTTCACTGCAGCTGAAACATGAATGTGTGATCAGATCAAAGACTAACTTTGAAATCTCATCCATTAAATAAATATTATCTCCACATGATGTCATAATCAAAACAACTCTTTGTTTGATTGAGGAGTCAGTCAATGTAATAATGAAAACATTATTATATATGACTGGTTTATTGTTTGGTCATGCTGCCTTTGCTCTACAGTTTATGTCTATTTATTTATTCTCTCCTTATTGTTTTCTCTGTTTTATCGCTTCTCTTCTATCTTAATTGTTTCCCTTTCAGAAGCCTCCTGTGGACCGGTGTTGAGAACTAGCATGCTCGCTAAAACACTTAAACAATGCATCTGGTTCGACTAACCCATGCCAAATAAAGTCAATTATTATTAGATTTATTTTGTCTGCAGTAACATTGTTCAGACACCAGGTGGAGCCACAGCTCAGATATAGATATTTATCTTTATGTGTTCCAACACATTTCTTTAAAGAGAGAGAGTGCTCACACGAGGAGAGCGAACCCAGCTGGTCACTCACCATGAGCCGTTTCTCAGCTCCTCCTCCTTCTCCGCCATTGCCGCAGCGTCATCCAGGCGCAGCTTGGTCACCTGACCACAGACGCTCTGGAGCATGGGCAGAAACTCCGGGCCGGAGCTCGACACCTGCTCACGACCCTGAGCGTTCAGGAAGTGTGACATCATCTCCGCCAACTGGGCGTGGCCTGGCCCTCTGACCTCGCCGCTCGCTGGAGGAGAGAGAGAGAGAGAGACCACATCACAAAGAGGTCGGCGGAGGTCAAATGAAAGATCCAGACAAACGCCGTGAATCAGACGGCGCTTAAACTTTTTTTTCAGCCAAAATCTGTTTTTTAAAACTTCAGGTCACTCAGGGTTCGGGATCCACCGTCTGAAACATCAGAGACATCACACAGTGAACTCTCCGAGTCCTGATGGTCTTCCTGAGACTGAGGAGTGGGTGGGGCTCCGGAGGGGGAGCCGTCTGACATCATGGCTCCATGCTGACCTGACAGAGATGCAGGCTGGGAGCAGCTGACTGGAGGATGCTAAAGAAGAAGAAAAAGAAGAAGTAGAAGGACTCGTGTAAGTCTCTGAGGTTTGAAGTCGACGCGCTCTCTGAACCAACGAGAGGCATCAGGTCGACACGGAGCATGCTCATGACTTTGATTAAACTTCAGCTGCTGCTCAGATCAACCCTAACCCAATCCCTAACCACTAACCCCTAACCCTAACCCATAACCCAATCCCTAACCCCTAACCCCTAACCCCCTAACCCAATCCCTAACCACTAACCACTAACCACTAACCCCGTAACCCAATCCCTAACCCCTAACCCCGAAACCCAATCCTAACCCCTAACCCCGTAACCCAATCCTAATCCCTAACCCCGTAACCCAATCCTAATCCCTAACCACTAACCACTAACCCCATAACCCAATCCCTAATCCCTAACCCCGTAACCCAATCCTAATCCCTAACCACTAACCCCGTAACCCAATCCCTAACCCCTAACCCCGTAACCCAATCCTAATCCCTAACCCCGTAACCCAATCCCTAACCACTAACCCGTAACCCAATCCCTAACCCCTAACCCCGTAACCCAATCCTAATCCCTAACCCCGTAACCCAATCCTAATCCCTAACCACTAACCACTAACCCCATAACCCAATCCCTAATCCCTAACCCCGTAACCCAATCCTAATCCCTAACCACTAACCCCATAACCCAATCCCTAACCACTAACCCCGTAACCCAATCCCTAACCACTAACCACGTAACCCAATCCCTAACCACTAACCCCCTAACCCAATCCCTAACCCCTAACCACGTAACCCAATCCCTAACCCCTAACCACGTAACCCAATCCCTAACCACTAACCCCTAACCCCTAACCACGTAACCCAATCCTTAACCACTAACCCCTAACCACTAACCCCCTAACCCAATCCCTAACCCCTAACCACGTAACCCAATCCCTAACCACTAACCCCTAACCCCCTAACCCAATCCCTAACCACTAACCACTAACCCCCTAACCCCCTAACCCAATCCCTAACCACTAACCCCGTAACCCAATCCCTAACCACTAACCACTAACCCCGTAACCCAATCCTAATCCCTAACCACTAACCCCGTAACCCAATCCCTAACCCCTAACCCCGTAACCCAATCCTAATCCCTAACCCCGTAACCCAATCCCTAACCACTAACCCCGTAACCCAATCCCTAACCCCTAACCCCGTAACCCAATCCTAATCCCTAACCCCGTAACCCAATCCTAATCCCTAACCACTAACCCCATAACCCAATCCCTAATCCCTAACCCCGTAACCCAATCCTAATCCCTAACCACTAACCCCATAACCCAATCCCTAACCACTAACCCCGTAACCCAATCCCTAACTCCTAACCCTGTAACCCAATCCTAATCCCTAACCACTAACCACTAACCCCATAACCCAATCCCTAACCACTAACCCCGTAACCCAATCCCTAACCACTAACCCCATAACCCAATCCCTAACCCCTAACCACGTAACCCAATCCCTAACCACTAACCCCTAACCCCCTAACCACTAACCACTAACCCCTAACCCCCTAACCCCCTAACCCAATCCCTAACCACTAACCCCGTAACCCAATCCCTAACCACTAACCACTAACCCCGTAACCCAATCCTAATCCCTAACCACTAACCCCGTAACCCAATCCCTAACCCCTAACCCCGTAACCCAATCCTAATCCCTAACCACTAACCACTAACCCCATAACCCAATCCCTAATCCCTAACCCCGTAACCCAATCCTAATCCCTAACCACTAACCCCATAACCCAATCCCTAACCACTAACCCGTAACCCAATCCCTAACCCCTAACCCCGTAACCCAATCCTAATCCCTAACCACTAACCACTAACCCCATAACCCAATCCCTAACCACTAACCCCGTAACCCAATCCCTAACCACTAACCCCATAACCCAATCCCTAACCCCTAACCACGTAACCCAATCCCTAACCACTAACCCCTAACCCCCTAACCCAATCCCTAACCACTAACCACTAACCCCTAACCCCCTAACCCAATCCCTAACCACTAACCCCGTAACCCAATCCCTAACCACTAACCACTAACCCCGTAACCCAATCCTAATCCCTAACCACTAACCACTAACCCCATAACCCAATCCCTAACCACTAACCCCGTAACCCAATCCCTAACCACTAACCCCTAACCCCCTAACCCAATCCCTAACCACTAACCCCGTAACCCAATCCCTAACCACTAACCACTAACCCCGTAACCCAATCCTAATCCCTAACCACTAACCCCGTAACCCAATCCCTAACCCCTAACCCCGTAACCCAATCCTAATCCCTAACCACTAACCCCGTAACCCAATCCCTAACCCCTAACCCCGTAACCCTACCCTAATCCTAATCCCTAACCACTAACCCCGTAACCCAATCCCTAACCCCTAACCCCGTAACCCAATCCTAATCCCTAACCCCGTAACCCAATCCCTAACCACTAACCACTAACCCCGTAACCCAATCCCTAACCACTAACCACTAACCCCGTAACCCAATCCCTAACCACTAACCCCGTAACCCAATCCCTAACCCCTAACCCCGTAACCCAATCCTAATCCCTAACCCCGTAACCCAATCCTAATCCCTAACCACTAACCCCATAACCCAATCCCTAACCACTAACCCCCTAACCCAATCCCTAACCCCTAACCACGTAACCCAATCCCTAACCCCTAACCCTACCCGACCCACGCTTGGGTCCCAACCCACCTTTTGAGAACCATGTGACGATAAGGTTAGGTAAATTCTAATATTAATATTTTGGTATAAAATGAACTTTGAACTGTGCTGGTTGTGATAGTCTGCTCAGTGATCATACTGATACCCGGAAGTCTGCAGGCTGTGGCTGATAGCTGAAAGCTGCTGGAGGGACCAGGGCAGAGAGAGACCCACCCCCCATCAGGAGAGGCAGGAAGCCCCCAAGAGAGCCGGTCTGGTTCTAGAGAGAAACACACACAGAGTTAAAACTTCCACTTCCTGTTAGCAACATTAACTTCTCGTTGTTACAGGATGATCCCCCACTCAGTGGAGTTCACGTTCATACTCATACAAGATCTCTGAACTTTGACCTTCACTGTTAGAGGAGGTGGTCTAACGTAGACCCGCCTCGCTGATTCATTAACAAGATGTGAACTTCACACCCACCTTCTGCTGGAACTGCACCATGTCCATGAGGTTCTGTGCTCCAGGTGAGAGACTCATCCCGATCTCATCGACCAGACTCTGCACCTGCTGCATGTCGATGCCCACGCCATGGAGGGGGTGGGGCTTCAGAGACTGAAGGCCCACGATGACCCGGCAAACCAAAACACTGTTTCTACCAGCCAGAGAGAGCAGCTGCAGAGAGAGGGAGGGAGGGGGGACAAGAGGGGGGACAAGAGGAGGAAGAACTATTGTTAGACCTTCAGGGTCCAACAGTTGAACACTCTCAGCTGAACTTAAAAAATAATAAAGTCTTCCCTCTGTGATAGAATCAGGATCAGTGTGTCTGAAGTCATTAACTGAAATGATGTCTGCAGCTGTCATGGTCGACAGAGGAGGTCAAAGGTCAATGGAGCTCACCTTCACTTCACATGAGACCGACGGATTCTCGAGGATCAGCTGTTTCTCGTAGAAAGGTCCTCGATCTGACCTGAGAGCAGACACGAGAGACGACTGAATCATCACAACCTCATCTTATAAAACCTGCAGGGGGCGCTGGAGTCCCATCGATGGCGTCCCCCGTCTGTTCCTGCAGGGGGCGCTGGAGTCCCATCGATGGCGGTCTCCATGCTGGAAATGCTGTCTCAGTCTAACTTTCAGTCAACCTAACGACAGGCTGAGAGCTGGAGCTGAGGCGGGTTTTAAACCTCCTGACAAACCGGACCCGGAGCCTCTGGTCTATAAATCAAATGGTGTATGATGCTGACTGGGTTTGTTTACCTGTCTGGATGGTTTGTTTACCTGTCTGGATGGTTTGTTTACCTGTCTGGATGGTTTGTTTACTTGTCTGGATGGTTTGTCTACCTGTCTGGATGGTTTTATCTGGATGGTTTGTTTACCTGTCTGGATGGTTTGTTTACCTGTCTGGATGGTTTGTTTACCTGTCTGGATGGTTTTATCTGGATGGTTTGTTTACCTGTCTGGATGGTTTGTTTACCTGTCTGGACGGTTTGTCTACCTGTCTGGATGGTTTTATCTGGATGGTTTGTTTACCTGTCTGGTGGTTTGTTTACTTGTCTGGATGGTTTGTTTACCTGTCTGGATGGTTTGTTTACCAGGTCTGGATGGTTTGTTTACCTGTCTGGTGGTTTGTTTACCTGTCTGGATGGTTTTATCTGGATGGTTTGTTTACCTGTCTGAATGGTTTGTTTACCTGTCTGGTTGGTTTGTTTACCTGTCTGGATGGTTTGTTTACCTGTCTGGATGGTTTGTTTAGCTGTCTGGTGGTTTGTTTACTTGTCTGGATGGTTTGTTTACCTGTCTGGATGGTTTGTTTACCTGTCTGGATGGTTTGTTTACCTGTCTGGATGGTTTGTTTACCTGTCTGGTGGTTTGTTTACTTGTCTGGATGGTTTGTTTACCTGTCTGGATGGTTTGTTTACCTGTCTGGTGGTTTGTTTACCTGTCTGGATGGTTTGTTTACCAGGTCTGGATGGTTTGTTAACCAGGTCTGGATGGTTTGTTTACCTGTCTGGTTGGTTTGTTTACCTGTCTGGATGGTTTGTTTACCTGTCTGGTGGTTTGTTTACCTGTCTGGTGGTTTGTTTACTTGTCTGGATGGTTTTATCTGGATGGTTTGTTTACCTGTCTGGATGGTTTGTTTACCTGTCTGGTGGTTTGTTTACCTGTCTGGTTGGTTTGTTTACCTGTCTGGATGGTTTGTTTACCTGTCTGGATGGTTTTATCTGGATGGTTTGTTTACCTGTCTGGATGGTTTGTTTACCTGTCTGGATGGTTTTATCTGGATGGTTTGTTTACCTGTCTGGATGGTTTGTTTACCTGTCTGGATGGTTTGTCTACCTGTCTGGATGGTTTTATCTGGATGGTTTGTTTACCTGTCTGGTGGTTTGTTTACTTGTCTGGATGGTTTGTTTACCTGTCTGGATGGTTTGTTTACCAGGTCTGGATGGTTTGTTTACCTGTCTGGATGGTTTGTTTACCTGTCTGGTGGTTTGTTTACTTGTCTGGATGGTTTTATCTGGATGGTTTGTTTACCTGTCTGGATGGTTTGTTTACCTGTCTGGATGGTTTGTTTACCAGGTCTGGATGGTTTGTTTACCTGTCTGGATGGTTTGTTTACCTGTCTGGTGGTTTGTTTACTTGTCTGGATGGTTTTATCTGGATGGTTTGTTTACCTGTCTGGATGGTTTGTTTACCTGTCTGGTGGTTTGTTTACCTGTCTGGTGGTTTGTTTACTTGTCTGGATGGTTTTATCTGGATGGTTTTATCTGGATGGTTTGTTTACCTGTCTGGATGGTTTGTTTACCTGTCTGGATGGTTTGTCTACCTGTCTGGATGGTTTTATCTGGATGGTTTGTTTACCTGTCTGGTGGTTTGTTTACTTGTCTGGATGGTTTGTTTACCTGTCTGGATGGTTTGTTTACCAGGTCTGGATGGTTTGTTTACCTGTCTGGATGGTTTGTTTACCTGTCTGGTGGTTTGTTTACTTGTCTGGATGGTTTTATCAGGATGGTTTGTTTACCTGTCTGGATGGTTTGTTTACCTGTCTGGTGGTTTGTTTACTTGTCTGGATGGTTTGTTTACCTGTCTGGATGGTTTGTTTACCAGGTCTGGATGGTTTGTTTACCTGTCTGGATGGTTTGTTTACCTGTCTGGATGGTTTTATCTGGATGGTTTGTTTACCTGTCTGGATGGTTTGTTTACCTGTCTGGTGGTTTGTTTACCTGTCTGGTTGGTTTGTTTACCTGTCTGGATGGTTTGTTTACCTGTCTGGATGGTTTGTTTACCTGTCTGGTGGTTTGTTTACTTGTCTGGATGGTTTTTATCTGGATGGTTTGTTTACCTGTCTGGATGGTTTGTTTACCTGTCTGGTGGTTTGTTTACCTGTCTGGTTGGTTTGTTTACCTGTCTGGTGGTTTGTTTACTTGTCTGGATGGTTTGTTTACCTGTCTGGTGGTTTGTTTACTTGTCTGGATGGTTTGTTTACCTGTCTGGATGGTTTGTTTACCTGTCTGGATGGTTTGTTTACCTGTCTGGTGGTTTGTTTACTTGTCTGGATGGTTTTATCTGGATGGTTTTATCTGGATGGTTTGTTTACCTGTCTGGATGGTTTGTTTACCTGTCTGGATGGTTTGTTACCTGTCTGGATGGTTTTATCTGGATGGTTTGTTTACCTGTCTGGTGGTTTGTTTACTTGTCTGGATGGTTTGTTTACCTGTCTGGATGGTTTGTTTACCAGGTCTGGATGGTTTGTTTACCTGTCTGGATGGTTTGTTTACCTGTCTGGTGGTTTGTTTACTTGTCTGGATGGTTTTATCAGGATGGTTTGTTTACCTGTCTGGATGGTTTGTTTACCTGTCTGGTGGTTTGTTTACCTGTCTGGTGGTTTGTTTACTTGTCTGGATGGTTTGTTTACCTGTCTGGATGGTTTGTTTACCAGTCTGGATGGTTTGTTTACCTGTCTGGATGGTTTGTTTACCTGTCTGGATGGTTTTATCTGGATGGTTTGTTTACCTGTCTGGATGGTTTGTTTACCTGTCTGGTGGTTTGTTTACCTGTCTGGTTGGTTTGTTTACCTGTCTGGATGGTTTGTTTACCTGTCTGGTGGTTTGTTTACTTGTCTGGATGGTTTTATCTGGATGGTTTGTTTACCTGTCTGGATGGTTTGTTTACCTGTCTGGTGGTTTGTTTACCTGTCTGGTTGGTTTGTTTACTTGTCTGGATGGTTTGATTACCTGTCTGGATGGTTTTATCTGGATGGTTTGTTTACCTGTCTGGATGGTTTGTTTACCTGTCTGGTGGTTTGTTTACTTGTCTGGATGGTTTGTTTACCTGTCTGGTGGTTTGTTTACTTGTCTGGATGGTTTGTTTACCTGTCTGGTGGTTTGTTTACTTGTCTGGATGGTTTGATTACCTGTCTGGATGGTTTTATCTGGATGGTTTGTTTACCTGTCTGGATGGTTTGTTTACCTGTCTGGTGGTTTGTTTACCTGTCTGGTTGGTTTGTTTACTTGTCTGGATGGTTTGATTACCTGTCTGGATGGTTTTATCTGGATGGTTTGTTTACCTGTCTGGATGGTTTGTTTACCTGTCTGGTGGTTTGTTTACTTGTCTGGATGGTTTGTTTACCTGTCTGGTGGTTTGTTTACTTGTCTGGATGGTTTGTTTACCTGTCTGGTGGTTTGTTTACCTGTCTGGTGGTTTGTTTACCTGTCTGGATGGTTTGTTTACCTGTCTGGATGGTTTGTTTACCTGTCTGGATGGTTTGTTTACCTGTCTGGATGGTTTGTTTACCTGTCTGGATGGTTTGTTTACCTGTCTGGTGGTTTGTTTACTTGTCTGGATGGTTTGTTTACTTGTCTGGATGGTTTGTTTACCTGTCTGGTGGTTTGTTTACCTGTCTGGATGGTTTGTTTACCTGTCTGGATGGTTTGTTTACCTGTCTGGTGGTTTGTTTACCTGTCTGGTGGTTTGTTTACTTGTCTGGATGGTTTTATCTGGATGGTTTGTTTACCTGTCTGGATGGTTTGTTTACCTGTCTGGATGGTTTTATCTGGATGGTTTGTTTACCTGTCTGGATGGTTTGTTTACCTGTCTGGTGGTTTGTTTACCTGTCTGGTTGGTTTGTTTACCTGTCTGGATGGTTTGTTTACCTGTCTGGTGGTTTGTTTACTTGTCTGGATGGTTTGTTTACCTGTCTGGATGGTTTGTTTACCTGTCTGGTGGTTTGTTTACCTGTCTGGATGGTTTGTTTACCCGTCTGGTGGTTTGTTTACCTGTCTGGTGGTTTGTTTACTTGTCTGGATGGTTTCATCTGGATGGTTTGTTTACCTGTCTGGATGGTTTGTTTACCTGTCTGGTGGTTTGTTTACCTGTCTGGTTGGTTTGTTTACCTGTCTGGATGGTTTGTTTACCTGTCTGGATGGTTTTATCTGGATGGTTTGTTTACCTGTCTGGATGGTTTGTTTACCTGTCTGGTGGTTTGTTTACCTGTCTGGATGGTTTGTTTACCTGTCTGGTGGTTTGTTTACTTGTCTGGATGGTTTGTTTACCTGTCTGGATGGTTTGTTTACCTGTCTGGTGGTTTGTTTACCTGTCTGGATGGTTTGTTTACCTGTCTGGTGGTTTGTTTACTTGTCTGGTGGTTTGTTTACTTGTCTGGATGGTTTTATCTGGATGGTTTGTTTACCTGTCTGGATGGTTTGTTTACCTGTCTGGTGGTTTGTTTACCTGTCTGGTTGGTTTGTTTACCTGTCTGGATGGTTTGTTTACCTGTCTGGATGGTTTTATCTGGATGGTTTGTTTACCTGTCTGGATGGTTTGTTTACCTGTCTGGTGGTTTGTTTACCTGTCTGGTTGGTTTGTTTACCTGTCTGGATGGTTTGTTTACCTGTCTGGATGGTTTGTTTACCTGTCTGGTGGTTTGTTTACTTGTCTGGATGGTTTGTTTACCTGTCTGGATGGTTTGTT